TCATCATATTATTTAATATATATTTGATTATAACTTCTTATAATGTTTAAGTACTGTATTTTATATAGTGTAAAAACATATGTACACAACTCACACACTATATAAAAATTTAATTTATAAAATATTACTTATATAGTATAATATTTCCTAAGTATTGTACTAAATATTGTACAATTGATTCATTGAATGGGTGCTGATCTAGTGTTAGATCAGATGACTCTTTCATATTGCTGTGGATTACCTGATGCAGAACATAGATATGATTGTTTTCTGTGCTGAAGGAGGTGTAATTGTCCATGAGTCGGTCCACCATGGTGCTACAGGAGATGATGATGGGTGCGAAGAGAGTGTTAATGCTGTCTTCAAAAGCAGGTAGCTGAGAACACATAAAAATAATATTAATAACCATCCAATATTCCACACTTATATCCATGTATGTCTAATGCAGGCATAATACAATTGTATTTAACATAAAATAATAATTATACTAAATAATTATCTATGTTTAAATATCTCTGTTTCATGTTTGTTTAAGTCAAACAGCATTCATTTGGAGCATCTGTCTCACTCCTTCTCCTTCTTCCTGGGAAACTCCATACTGCTTCTGAACCTGCTGCTCAAACTCAGTGTCAGTCCAGTAGAACAGAACCTCTGCGCTCTCGTTGGCCACCAGAAGACACTTCATTTTACCTGAACACAAATGCAATTATTAGAAGAAGAGTTCATCCCAGTAACACCGTTTCAGTCACTTTGCATAATTCTAACATGGCTTCATTTAAACATAATTTTCTCAATGCACCTATTCAAAAAATCTACTTGTACTTTACCAGTCCTTAACAATAGCCTAATAATTTGTAATGGATTCCTGTATTACACAAAAGAATATAGCTATGCATTTTAGATGTATGACTCCTAATAGGATAAACACTCTTGTAAGACACCAAAATGAATTTAAAATGAATATCGGTCCCCATACTACTTCCTTAATCTTTTCAGTAGGAATTGTTCCAAATTATAATACAATGCAAACAAGTACACAATACCCAATAGGATGATACTGCGGTCGCTTCTAAACGGCAGCAGAAACCCAAACCTCTCGGTTCCTCCAGGACGAAACTAAAGCTCACGTCCAATCTGATGCCTAATTCACAGAAAGCCATAAAGTTTAAGCGAGAACTTTTTGCACTAAATCTTCTAACCTACACGTTTTAATAAAGTAAACTTAATATTTTAAGGTTCGCTTCTAGAGCAGAAGAGTATCACTGTGTCCGAATCTTGACTCAGTTCTATATCACAGAACAAACGTTGCTCACCAGCTCTGAACTGCAGCAGCGCTTCCGCATTAATGTGTGTGTGTGTGTGTGTGTGTGTGTGTGTGTGTGTGTGTGAGGTGTGTCACGTGATTTGATGATCAGCAGCGAGCGCGAGTCACGTCTGGAATTCAGATCATGCGCGGCGGATCTAAAGCGCGTGACTCCTTTATTAGGCTACTCATTCATATAATAATCTCATTCAAACCTTCTTTCTTTCTTTCTTCCTTCCTTTCTTTTTCACGTTATCTTTGAAAAATCTACACTAAAAAATAAAATTGGTGTAGAAACAATTTTCACTCAGCACTTGTAAATTTCACAATAATGACAAAGAAATGGCAAGTAGGCTAACACATTGAATTTTAAGTTGAATAGTAATTTATTGTAAAACGTACTTATAATATTTGTTATTCACAACTTCAACTTTTTTTACTCAGATAATATCAAGCACAAAGATACAAGGAAAGCTGTATAAAAAATATGCACATAATAGGCTATTGCATTTCTTTCTTTCTTTCTTTCTGCATGAAATTCTTAATAAATATTTTAGTGCTTTGACCTTTCCTTTGTTCAGTGTATGACACACACATGTGAGAATTTAACATTGTATCAATTTTAACCCTCTATGTAACTGGCTCATGCATAGTATAACAGGGCTGCCAACTCTCACGCATTCAGCGTGAGACTCACGCAATAGGTTGTTTGCAATCACGTGATTCTGATGACGCGCGAAATGCAGCTGGAGGGCAGGAAGTGATTTTTCTCCATAGAAATCACTAGCAGAAACCAGTCTATGGCAGAAACTCAAAATGCCAGTGTTTTGCATTGTTTATGGATGCTCAAATCGGACAAACCGAGAAACCACAAGGAGCTTTTATCGTGTACAAAAATGTGTTGCTCATAAGGGGGAAAATTCAAGAATTTGACTGAAAAAACGCTGGAAAAAGTGGCTTGTAAACCTGCGTCTGCGGTCGGGAGGAGCGAAGCCGGATAATGCTCGTGTGTGCAAATGGTTAATATAAGATAATAATATATTAAAATATTAATAAAGAAATATATAAATAGATACAGGGTGACACTGTCAGAATTCACTGAATGCTAAACGCCACACATAGACACGATGTAAATAAGATATTATTTGCAGTTCTGAGAGCTGCACACACGAGCATTATCCGGTTTCGCTCCTCCCGACCGCAGACGCAGGTTTACACGCCACTTTTTCCTGCGTTTTTCCAATCAATTTCTTGACTTTTCCCCACTTATGAACAACACAGTTTCGTACACGATAAAAGCTCCTTGTGGTTTCTCGGTTTGTCCGATTTGAGCATCCATAAACAACGCAAAACACAGGCATTTGGAGTTTCTGCTAGTGATTCCTATGGAGAGAAAAATCACTTCCTGCCCTCCAGCTGCATTTCGCGCGTCATCGGTGACGTCATGTGCAAACAACCTATTGACACTATTCTCACGCTCTCACGCCACACATCCATTTTCTCACGCAGAAAAATGTCCCTGCCAAATTCAATATTTATTTATGATAAAAAAAACAACAAAAAAAACCCTCCATACAGCGCTGGTCAATGTCAGAATTATTTAGATGGCCAATCAAATCAAAGAAGGGCGGGGCTTTACTGTTCCAGCGCGACACCACAGCATTTTTAACAGTGAAAGAGTGTGAGGTAAGTAGGAAAACATTTATTATTTGACAGCTGTTTTACAACAGAAATGTTAAATAACCAACAGTAATATTCTGTGATGCAAACTACTCGACGACCGTTTTGATCATTTACGTGATTCACGTAATTCGTAACCGAATGTGGCAAGGAACATTTGGTTGTTTTGCTTTTACAACATTTGCACAAATTAACTCCTAATTGTATGTGTATTTTAAAATAAAATATTATATGTGAATATTTAAACGGATTACGAAAAATTATTTCCATTTTTCTCATCTTTTTTAAAGATGTTAAGCCTTGTCACACGCTATGCGTGTCCGTCGTTTAGGTTAGTAACTAATATGCTGTATGCCCTATGTAGAAATAAGTTAGCATTATCAAAGTTATTTGTTTTGCAGTAATGCAGTAATTATACATATGTTGTCAGTAAACCTGTTTCATTGTAATGTTTTGACAAATCACAATACTCTTCCTGTGATGCAAGGTTTTTTTTTTGTTTGTGTGGTGGTTTTTTTCTATTTATTTATATTTTTTTTTAAAGATTTTTTTTTTTTAATTTCTCGATTTGATTTCTTGATTTCAGCTTGGAATTCTCACTCCAAGCTGAAATCAAAAGTTGGCAGCCCTGAGTATAAACATCATGAAATCCTCCATCTTGGCTCAAGGGGGATGGGTTCTGGCTACTCCAAATAGGGTCAAAAGTATAAACATTTTCAAGCTGGGTTTGGTTACAGTGTGTATGGCAAAGCCGGGGAAGTCACGCAAAAGGTAGTTTGACTCTTTGCAGAACTGCAGTCCACAGCATATACAGAGAAAGAAACGTCACACTTCATTATGTCTGTATATGAATCCATGCTGCTGATTGTCAGCTTTGATCAGATGACAAAGACCTACCTGCTTGCTTCACCAGGATCATGCATATTCATAATTAAACCAAGGTTGCAGGTCAGTCAGGACATTTTGCTTTGGCAAAACAAAACCGCTCCCACAGATTTAAAAAAAAAAAGTATATAAAACATGATGTTTTGATTATTTTTATAATTTTATTTTTACATGTAAAATTCACACTTTCATGTTCCAAATATATTAGTAATTCGCAATATCTTATGCAATTTTGCATCTCAAATAAATTGGTTAGACTTTTTTATTTGGTTTGATATTTTACAAATACGACTTTTTTATTTGGTTTGATATTTTACAAATACAAAAATGCTAAGAAAATTATTCATTTAACATTTTATTTTATATTTTATTTTATGCAGTGTAAGTTAGTGAATGTTAATGACTACGATGGTTCTTGTGGTTTAAATTTCAGTAAATAAAAATAATTCTTAATATGTACTTTTAAATCTCAAATAAATTAATCTTGGTTTGATATTGTATTTGGTTTGATATGAAACAAAGGCAAAAATGCAAAGAAAATTATTATTATTTTTATTTTATTTTATTGTAAGCTAGTGAAATGTAGTACTTTGATGGTTCTTGTGGTCTAAAATTCAGTAAATATGTAAAAGCCTGCTGGGTCTCGTCAGACTTTGTGACTCTTGACCAAGTGTGAATGAGTCTGGATTCTGTTTATGAGTGAACCATGTTGAGTCTTTTAAGATAAACCACATGTGAACTGCAGACATGTTTTGTTTTATAGCATGATTTTAATTTTGTATTGCCTGGAGTTAGTATATTAATTTAATGACCACGTCAAGGCAACATATTTTGGTTTACTCTAAATACATAATGCATCTACATTTAAAACATGTCTTGAACCAGCTTTGATGAGAAGAGATCAAAATCCCCTATAGGAGTCTCATTCAGGTGCAAATGGTTCTCATCACTTACTGCACACGATTGTTCTGACACCACAGTTCGCTCTCATTCTTCAACAAAGTCTTGTCCCAGCTGCTTGGAAAGGGAACATCTGCTGATGTACACACTGCAAACTGGCTCCTTCCCTTTGTGACCCCTCCAGCGCTGGGATGAGGACCCTGCCGGGCCTTTGAAGACTAGTGAGCTGATGATCTCCCCCTGACCTGATGGGACATAAAGCTCTTGGTCTTGGGTTACACGTTGCAGCACACTGTCACAATTTATTTCTGTACTTCTTTGTGTTCAGGCCCATGTATAAATCACTGAGCTCTTAGCTTGCTTTTATCCTGCTATCTTGCATTTCTGAACATGTGCTGGAATACTACAATTCAGCCTCTATGTCACAGGACAGTCTCTTAAATAGTCATACACTGCTCGTACTTGAACAGTTTTCATTTACATATGTATATAAATACTATATACTATATTTGTACTATAATATAGTACTAATATTGTACTAATATAATACATATTTGTAATGTTTATAAATTTGAAGTTCCCCATAGCCCAGACTCTTTTGAAGGCTGAAAGAGCCTGGATTCATAATTCAGACTCTTTCACACTTGGTCAATGGTCACAAAGTCTGGCAAGATCCAGCAGGCCTTTGCCTTACTGAAATTTAGACTACAAGAACCATTAAATTGTCACTAACTTTCACTAACTTACATTGCAAAAATAAATAAATAAATCAAAAATAATGTTCTTAGCATTTTTGTCTTTGTTAAATATCAAACCAATTAAAATGTCAAACCAAGATGAATGTATTTCAGATGTAAAATTACAGAAGATATTAAGAATTGCTTTCATTTACTGAAATTTAGACCACAAGAACCAACAAAATAGTCACTAACGCTAACTAACTTACACTATAAAAACAATTAAATTAAATATAAAATGAATAATATTCTTAGCATTTTTGTCTTTGTTAAAAATCAAACCAAATAAAATGTCAAACCAGGATGAATATATTTCAGATGCAAAATTACACAAGATATTAATAATTACTTTAATTTATTACAATTTAGACAACAAGAACCATCAAAGTAGTCACTAACTTTAACTTACAATGTAATAATAAAATAAAATGAATAATGTTATTTGCATTTTTGTTTGTTAAATATCAAACCAAATAAAATTCCAAACCAAGATTAATGCATTTCAGATGTAAAATTACAGAAGACTTGTTTTCATTTACTGAAGTTAATATATAATATAAAATACTATATACTGTACATATATATATATATATATATATGTATATGTATATACATATATATATATATATACAATGT